GGCGACTTCTCGCGCCCCTTATACATCTGGGTGACGTCATGCGCTTTGGTTCTCTGCCCTTCTCGAGAGTACAAGCTGCTGACACCTTAAAGTTTTATATATAAATGTTTTATGTTTAGTCTAAAGCTATTTAAGGTATCATCTGCTAATAACCTCGCCGTGCACTCTAATCTAATCAAACCCACCATGCCGTCGACGTCGCCGCCGTACAGCTTGTCGTTGGCCACCTTGAGCTTCATGGTCTCCACGTTGCAGTCGGGCTTGACTACGGGCCCGGCGGCTAGGTTTTCGGCGATGTTCCAGGAGCGGATGGAGCCGTCGTTGGAGCTGGAGTAGAGCATGTCGCCGTCGGCCGCCAGCGAGTAGACGTTAACGGGGTGCGCCTGTACCTCGGCCTCCAGCTTGAGGTCTGGCGACCACATCTGAAAGCAGACAAACGCCATTTTGCCATCGGCTGTTAACCGTCACGTCAGGCCTAGGGGGCGCTTTGTGGCCGTGGGCGTTCGCGCTTGCGGTCCCAACGCTGACAAGGAGCGCGGGGCGGGGCGGGGCGGCCAACGCCCCGGCACCGCGGTCAGTGTTTGTGTTGGGGCCGTTGGGCCCGTGGGACCCCACCCCCGCCACGCCCCGCCATAGCTTGGCTCGCGCATTGTCTGCTCTTGATCTTGCTCACTGTCCGTCCGTCTGTTCATTCGCGGGGCCCGCCCGTCCACCTGCTGGCAGGATGCCAACAGCTGATGCGGCCGGCGCGGTGCGGCGTGGCGGGGCGCAGCGCAGGGGGCTCTGTTTAGCAAAGGGCAGCGTGGTGCAGCAGCAGCAGCAGCAGCAGCGCCGCGGCGTCCTGCACGGCGGCATCACACCGCCTACGAGGCCGGTGTCAAGGAGTCTAACAAGCGCACCATCGTGGCGAGGGAAACGGGGGGGGGGCGTGTAGCAGGCGGAAGTAAGGTGCTCTAGGGATTGGCGTACCCAGCAGGGTCCCCGCAAGTAGGAGGGCTACTGGTCGGAGAGAGAACCTACACGCCAACATTGGCGTTGCTATTACTGTCACTGCACCCCGCTACGGAGGGACGCGGGCCGCGAAACCCACCTTGATCTTGCCGTCGTCGGCGCCGCTAAACAGCTTCCCCTTGTGGAACAGCAGGGTGGCGACGTTCTCCAGGTGGCGCTCCTGTTCCGTCACGGAGGCGCTCTTCTTCATGGGGGCCATGATGCTGATTGTGATGACGGTTGTCTTTCGCCCGCTCTCACGTCGCTCACTCGGTCGCTCTCGACACGGCCCGCTCGAGGGACTAACTCGTCTTTGGGGGCGTCTCGCGTTCAAGTGCCCCCTCCTCGACGTGGGACCTGGCGAGCGGTCCGCGGCGCTGGGCAGGGCGCCGTCGGCTCGGTCCCCACCACTCCCTCCCCGGCCGCATCCCGGCCTCTCCCGGTGCTGCTACTGGCGACGTGCCCGGCGCCCGCCTCGGAAGGATCTGGCGCTTTCTCAAAACATCGGCGCCCCCTAGAAGATGGTCCACGCTGTTTACTCGGGCCGGTCCCCGGGTGGCGGCGCGGAGTGGTGGGCTCGGCGAGGGTCTCGGCCGCCTTGAAGCGGTCGTGGTGCAGCAAGCAGCGGGGAGACGAGGAGCAAGGACTGCGAGGGGCGCCGAGGAAAAGGGCTTTGGCAACAACTTTCCTTCCCCCAAGTCACTCTGCTGCTGATGTCCTTTTGGGCCCGTCACCCGCCCGGGGGGGCTGCCTTGGTAATTACGCGCTGAGCTCTTGTCAGCGGCGCTATCGCCTCGCACACAAAGTCATTTCTGGAGTATTAACGGGTGAGGGGCGAGGGGGGCGGGGCCTGGCCGCGAGAGATGCGAAACAACGGCTTTGCTGCGGTGGCGGGTGGGTGGTGCCCTGCCCTGCCCCCGCTCCTGGTCGCTCTCACGGCGGTCCCGCTGCCGCGCCTCTGCAGCCTGTGTGACAGGTGCGCGCGCTAAGTTGATCAAATGTCGGCGCGTGACCATGTGCCGCCACCGGCCTACGTAACTCACGTACGTCGCGTGCACCGCCGCCGCAGCCGCCCCAAACCCCCCACAACCCACAGTCCACCTGGTGCGAATTAATAACGCCAGCGGCAACCTTCGATACACCTTTGACGTAAACGTGCAAATCTACTTTCGGAGAGAGCGCGGCGGGCGCACGTGTACACCCCACGTGCCTCCCCCCCC